GATAGAAGTGGCAGGCCAATTGATTTCCCTTCCAAAGGTCAAAAGGTAGTAGTTCTAATAAATGGTCGGGAAGTTGTGGGAAGATAGTCACAGTGACTCATCAGTGGCACTATTCTAAGAAATCAATGGAAGGAATCTATCTGAAGTGATGAGGCATTCAGAGAGTTCCAAGACAAGAGACAAACCCTGTCTTTATGGTTTCTCTATCTGTATACAACTTCCACTAAAAAGACATGTTGACCCACAAGACCTTCAAAACAAAGCAAGCAGGGGGTATAACTTTCAAGAGAAGGGGGGACAGGAAGCTTCAGGAACCTACGGAAACTTGCTCTTCTCAGCCACTTACCTACCCTGAAGGAAGATGAACATTTTTCATAGAGAACCTTAAAATTTACTTGAACCCAGGGAAGTTGCCCACATCAGAGATGATGTCCTAAGAACAGAAAAGTTTTCCAAATGGCCAATGGAGGTGAGATAAGGGCTGGAGTGACATAACAGTAGAGGCAAGATGAAATTTGTTGGGCATTTCTACTCAAACAATTGCTATAGGGATATGTAGTAGGTCATACAACACATAAGGGACATATGGGAATGAATCAATCAGAAGGTAATGGTAAACCATGAGAGAGGTTTTCATGAGAATCACTTGGAAGCCATTTTGTTCATCATCACAAGCATGAGCCACTCAATTAGGATGGAACCAGGGATGACAATAACCTCTCCAAAACCACACTTAAACTTGCAGTTCATTAAGTGAAATACGGACAATATGGCTTTTCATTTTTTTTAAACTGAATATATTTAAAAGCCAAACAAAATGTTTACTATTGCCAGGAGTGTTGGCACACACTTTTAATCCCAGTACTCAGGAGACAGAGGCAAGCAGATCTCTGTGAGGTTGAGGCCAGCCTGGTCTACAAAGTGAGTCCCAGGCCATCCAAGGCTACATAGTAAAACCCTGTCTCAAAACAAACAAACAACTAACAAAAAAAAAAACAAACCACAAGAAAATGTTTTAATTGATTTCTAGAACTCATCTATAGAACAAAAATTTTGATATCTGTGATGGTTATTTTGAAATGTAGGCTTGACTAGATCATGAATTACCCAGAAACCCAGATGCTTTAATTTTTGAGTGGACTAGGTGAGGAAGACCTAGTGTCAATGTGAGCAAGTGCTATCCTTGCTTACGGCTGCACTACTCACAACTGGTAGGAAATGGAACCAGTCTAGCTGTCTACCAACAGATAAGTGGATAAGGAATATATGATTCACACACACAATGGAATTTTATTCAGTCATAGGGAAAATGAAATAATTACAGGAAAGGGAGGGGCACTAGGAATTAATACATTAAGGAAAGTGACAGACTCAGAAAGACAAGTACTACATAATTTTCTCTCATGTGCAGACCTAGATTTTTAAATATACTAGTAAATGGAGGAATAGGTATATGCCATAAAAGTAGAAATGGGAACCATGAAATCAGGGAAAGAAGACTCAAGAGGAAGTGAAGACTAACAGAAAATACATGACAAAAGCAGAAGGGAGGTTATTGTGGGGAGGAAGGGCCTACAGGAGGGTAGCAGAGGGATGGTGGGAGTGAGGTAAAAACAACAAATACAAAGTACATATAAAAATAACATCATGAACCTCACTACTTGGCAAGCCAAATTTTGAAAACAAGCTAATCACTTTAACTGATTGCCTAAAGAGGAATACATCAGTGGCAAAAAGACTAATTTGGCTGATTTTCATTTGGATCCAGTTTCAGTTCAATGGTACAGCGCTCTCTCTCTCTCTCTCTCTCTATTTATATATATGTGAATATATATATGTGAATATATATATATATATATATATATATATATATATATATTGTCCACTGATGGACACTTAGGCTGATCCTGTAACTTGGCTGTTGTAAATGGTGTTGTGTCTATGGTACAGTGACTTAGTTTCTTGTTTCTCCCCTTTAAGAACTAGGTCCTAAAGCATGTGATTAGAATAAAATGTGTCTGCCTGTTATTAACTCCACATATGAGACAATGCATCTAAGAAGAAAAGGAAGTTGCTTTCATTCTGGGACAACAATATCCAGTCATCTGATCATTTCATCCTTACGAATTGCAAGCTAAGGAAGCAGGAATGCAGGATTCCCACTGCATAATTATTTCCCAAGACTACATAGGAGTTACCAGATGAATTCAAAAGGCACAAATATCTGGGTTTCTCCACTGAATTCCAGGTCACAGCTTAATACATAAAAATTTTCTCTCAGTAGGCATTGTTTATGAGAAGTGCCACAGGGGGTTGTTCAAAAAGTCCAAGAACCCATAGAGTAGGTCACTAAGGTGAATTCTGGAGTATGAACTCAAAGCACCTACATTAAGATTAACTTGTGCTTAAAGTATTCATGACTTAAGAACCCCCCAGGGTTTTTTGTTTTATCTAACTTAACAGTGTTGTCCATCTTTATCATATGTTATATAAAAAGGAAAAGGTCCCACTACTAACAGAATAAATTCTTCTGGAGAAGTCAAGTGGGCAGTAAAAAAAAATTCATAAGAGGAATCATGTCTTCAAATCATATAAAGACCAGGACTACCTCAAACTCCAACAGAAACAATTCCCATTGACACCGATGTCATAGAAGAAATAAGGGAAATAACAGAGAAATTGTCACCTCTGAAACAGATCTATTACCCGAGTCCATCGACAAACATTCCTGTATGATTATTCAGAAACCACGTAGAACTTGGTTGAAGGAGTATTCTCTGTTATTTGTTTCAATTTGAGCCTTCTCTGCACTAATGATAACCTATGGCCATTTACTGAGTGAAAAAAAATAGTTCGAAAAGCCCCCATCATTTCCACAGAGATAGCAATGTAGATATCGATTGATGTGTATGTCTTACTTATTTATTCTTATTCTCTGACTCACCTTAGGAGGTAAGTACCTCCTAACCACAGGAGAAATCAAGTTATACCTATAAGATGACCCGGTGTGGGGGATTTGGTGGACTTTCCGGAGCCCCCCGTTGGGGGCTCTGCCCTGCCTGGGGAGTGGTGGGTGGATGGAGTGGGGGTAGGCGGGGGATGGGGGAGGAGGGATGTGGGTGAGGGGAGGGAGAGGGAGAGGGGACTTACATGTGAAACGGGAGTGTTCCCTAACTAGAACTAATAAATAAATTTAAAAAAAAGATGACCCTGTGTGTAAGTAGCAAGCACTTCTGTTCTCCACATGCATGTGCACATATATGCATCCACACCTGCACATGCATGCACATATATACATAACAAAGAGAGAATCTCTTAGCTTCTTAGGTCTTCTGTAGGGAAAAAAGTTCCAAATATGATGCCTTTAAACAACAGGAATTTATTCTCAGTTTTGGAGACTAGAAAAAGCAAGATAATGGTAGACCAGTAGTTCTTAACCTTCCTGATGCCTCAACCCTTTAGTATAGTTCCTCGTGTTGTGGTGACCTCCAACCATAAATTATTTTTATTGCTAGTTCATAACTAATTTTGCTACTGTTATGAATCATAATGTAACTATCTGATATGCAGGATATCAGATGTGATCCCCAAATGGGTAAAAGACTCATATGTTGAGAACCACAAGTGGTAGATTAGAATGTCTCTGAAAGCAGGGAACAACTTGTTCCATGCATTTCCCTTAGATTCAGGCATTCAGGGTTATTAGACACACCACCTTTACCTCTGCCTCTGTTGTCATAAGGCATTCTCCCTGTGTGTCTATGTATCTCTTCTTCTAAAAGCAGTCATACTGGATAAAGGCCCACTCATAACCTCATCTTCACAGCAAAGACTATGTCTCCAAATGCCAAAATCACAGGCACAATAGAGTCCAACAGAATCGGATTAAAGACAACAAACTATTTAGTACAATCTTTTGTATAGTAAACATTTTTGTACAGTCGCAATGCTGTCATAAACTGGATAATGGGGAGAAGTGACCATGAGAGGAAATCTAGTTTTTTGTTTTCCCAGCATGCTGTCTACAATAGTCCCCAACCTACAACTCTAAGAACTGCTTGCAGCTGAACCCCTACATAGTGTCATCACACTAGGAAAATTTTGCCAAACAAATCTCAAAATCAGTTTTTCTTGGTGGTAGTTCAAGAGTTAAATTGAGGTTAGCCTAAATTTGAGGGGAGATGCTGTGTCCCTGGAAATACTCATATTTGAGCTTGAAGGCAAAAGGGGCACTTGAAACTCAGAAATGGCCTAATAAATTGCAAAGCTCACAGATTACATAGCTCACATCTCTGATCCTGCAGACACTGCCAAAGAACAGATCTGATCTGAAGGCTAAATTGCCCAAGACTTACTATTACAATGCTAAAACTGGGCCAAAAGTTTTTCCTTTCAGGTTTATGAGACTGAAAAAGTAAGGAACACGCATATTGAGACCAGACTGACAGTTTGTGGAGGCTCTAATACTCTGGTGGGGTCAAGAATGAACATGAGAAGGAAAGCACAGTTTCACAGTTACCACTGTTTGTAAAATGTGTTGGTAGCCTGATATAAGAAAAAGTGGGAAATAATCTTGGACAAATTGACACAGGACACCACTTCCTGAACATAACACCAGTAGGCCAGGAAATAATATTGACAATTAATAAATGGGACCTCATGAAACTGAAAACATTCTGTAAGGCAAAGGATACAGTCAGCCAGACAAAATGGCAGCCTACAGAATAGGAAAAGATCTTCACCAACCCCACATCTGACAGAGCACTGATCTCCAAAATATATTTAAAAACTCAAGAAACTAGATATCAACAAACCAAATAATCCAATTAAAGAATGGAGTACAGTTCTAAACAGATAATTCTCAACAAGAGGAATCTCAAATGTCTGAGAAACACTTAAAGAAATGTTCAACATCCTTAGCCATCAGGTATAGTGGGAAATTACCAATACGGAGTCAGCTAGAAATATAAGGGTATTTAATAGGGAAAAGCCTTACTTACAGAGCAACCTAGCCAGCCGGCGTGGTAGCAGTCTGTACAGCAAGTCCCAAAGTGAAAGCGAAAGAGCAAACGCAGTCACCCTACATACCCCTGACCACGCCCTGGCAAGCTTGTGAGGGCGTGGTCAGGCACACTGTAGCCAGCCCCTAAGTAGGCGTGGCTACAGCTTCCCCTACATAGGTATATACACTATCCTAAATGACAACAATGGGGAAAGGGGGCATAGCATCCTCCAAGTTACTTCCTGCTGAAATGGGACGATGATAGTCATGTGGGGTCCTGTAGGAAGAAAATGTTAGTATCCAGTCCATGTTAGGTGGGATTCACTTGATTGAAGATCTCACTTGAAATCCTCAACTTGATTGAAGTCAGTACCCAAACCTCTGGCCGGAGTGTCAGTTGAAATGGAGCAAGTTGGATCCAGTGCAGTAGAGGAGGAGTGGCCCATTTTCTTTCCAGGGTGTCCAGGGATTGCTGTCAGGCAGGTCTTCATTGGCTGTGTGGGACTCAAACATAAACAGTTAGCAGAGAAATGTTAAGTTTTAATCCTCTTTTAGACTAAAAGGGGAATTGTAGGGGAAGCTGTAGCCATGCCTTCTTAGGGGCTGGCTATAGGTGTGCCTGACCACGCTTGTGAGGGCGTGGTCAGAGTGATGTAGTGTGACTGCGTTTGCATTTTTGGTTACTCTTTGCTTCTGGCTGTATAGGCTACTGCCATCCCGGCTGGCTAGGTCTCTCTGTAAGTAAGGCTTTTCGTATTGGTAATTTCCCACTATAATCAGGGAAATGTAAATCAAAACGACTCTGAGATTCTATCTTACGCTTTTCAGAATGGCTAAGATCAAAAACTCAAATGACAGTTTATGCTGGAGAGCAAGTGGAGCAAGGGGAACACTCTTCCACTGCTGGTGGGAATGCAAACTTGTACAGCTACTCTGAAAATCAATATGGCAGTTCCTCAGAAAATTGGAAACTAATCTATTTCAAGACCCCACTCTTGGGCATATACCCAAAGTATTCTCAATCATACCACAAGGATACTTGCTCAACTATGTTCATAGCAGCATTGTTTGTAATAGCCAGAAACTGGAAACAACCTGGATTGCCCTCAACTGAAGAATGGATAAAGAAAATGTGGTACACAATGGAGTATAACTCACTTGTAAAAAAAAAAAAAACAATGACATTAAACTTGCCGGCAAACAGATAAAACCAGTAAAAAAAAAATCATCCTGGGTGAGGTAACCCAGACCCAGAAAGACAAACATGGTATGTACTCACTTATAAGTGGATATTAACTGTAAAGTAAAGGATAACCATGCTACAATCCACAGACCCAGAGAGGCTATGTAACAAGGAGGACCCAAGGGGAATGCATTCATGGGAAGGGCAAATAGAAGAGATCTTGCAGGTGGATTGGGTACCGGTGGAGATGGGAACATGAAGGATCGCGATGAGGCATGGATGGATGGAGAGAGTACTGAAAGAGATGATTGGAAAGCGGGGTATTTGGGGGTCAAGCAGAAACCTGGTGCAAGGGAAACTCCCAGGAATCTACAACGATGACCTCAGCTAAGACTCTCAGCAATGGTGGATGTTATAACCTGAACTGGCCATCTCCTGTAATGAAGCAGGACTTCAAGTGGAGCGATTGGGATGCTGGCCCACCCACACAACCTTTGACCTACTTTCTGTCCTGCTTATGGGAAGTACAGGGAGTAAGAGTGGCACAGAGATTGAAGGAGTGGCCAATCAATGTCTGGTCCAACCTGAGACCCATACCACAAAAGTGCGCCCACCCATGACATTGCCTGGAGTGCCAGGACCCAGAGGCTGGATTGCCCAGAGACCTAGAATAGACCCAAACACAATTGGGAGGGAAATGTCAATGTAGTTTTGCCTAATGATATTCTACTATACTCATAGATTGGTGCCTACCCCAATTGTCATCAGAGACGCTTCATCCAGTAACTGATGGAAGCAGATGCAGAGACTCACAGCCAAATATTAGTCAGAGCTTGGGGTATCCTGCTGAAGAGAAGGATTATAAGAGCCAGATAGATGAAGGACATCACAAGAAAACCCACAGAATCAGCTAACCTGGGCTCACTGGGCCTCACAGAGACTGAACTGACAACCAGGGAGCCTGCATGGGACTGACCTAAGCACTCTGCATATATGTTACAGTTGTGTAGTTTGATCTTCTTGTGGGACTCCTAACAGTGGGAGCAGTAGCTGTCTCTGACTCTTCTTTTACTGTCTTTTGGAAGCCTATTCCTCATCCTGGGTCTCTTTGCCCAGCCTTAATACATGGGGATGAACTTAGTCCTACCTCAACTTGATATGACGTGCTTTACTGATTCCCATGGGAGGCCTGCCTCTTTCTGAACAGATGCATAGGAGTAGTGGGAGAGGGGGAGATAGGGGAGAGAATAGAAGGAGAGAAAGGAAGGTAAGCTGCAGTTGGGATGTAAAATAAATGAATAAATTGAATTAAGAAAATAATAAAATGTGTTAGTAGCATAAAATAATTAAATGTGCTCATGAGTGCCATTATAAAATTGCATACCTGTACATATTTTATGTAAATTAACCCATTTATTTCTTGCAGCTAGGCAGGTCTTAGGCAGTAGCAGTTCTTACTGGTCTTTCAGTTCCTTTAGTCTTCTGATGGCAGACTTCACTGTGATGGTAGAAGTAATGTTGTAGGTCCAGGCCCCACCAGTCACTGTTTTCATGAAGGAACCACAGTGCCAGATGCCAACGGCTTGTCTATTCATCTTGGTCTTGCCACAGAAGGAGCAAGTATACTTGGCATGCTGGCTGATTTCAATTTTCTTCACCATTTTCCGGAGCGAAGCACCATAGCGGGTCCCGTATTTCCCAACCATCCCAACCTTCTTGGTGCTTTTAGCCATGTCGCCGGAATCTAAGCCCAAGCCTGGAGAGCCATAATGTATTTTTATCATATTCCAACCATACATACATTACCCACTCTTGTCCCCATTCCACTCTTGCAATCAATCCCCTTCCAATTCCCAACTAACCTGGCTTATATTTTCATTTCTTTTATGTGTGTGTGACCCAGTGAGTTTCATTAAAGCTGCTTACAGGAGCATGGGTGAATGTTTGTTTACAGGAGCACAGACACCTTACCATGGCTATACCACTGAAGAAAATGTCTTTTCTCCCGGCATTAACTGTTAATTGCCTGTAAATCTCCCAAGAGGGATCTCTCCCTTCTGCAGCAGGGTTTTATGGCCCTATCTTATATAGATCTCATGCAAGCAATGACAACTGCTGTGTGCTCAAGAATAGAGTGCAAAGCCATGGCATGCCAGAAAAATCACTATTTCATACCTCTGGCTCTCACATTCTTTCCATCCTTTCTTCTGCTATAGTCCCTGAGTCTTAAAGGGGGTGGTATAGACGTCCTATTTATTGTTGAGCATCCAACTGTCCCTTATTCTCAACATTTTGAGTAGTTTTAAGTCTCGGTATTTACCACTGACCACTGATTAGAAAAACTTCTCCAAACAAAGATGCTAGCAGCACTACTCTATGAATATAAACAGCATTATTTAGAAGGCAATTTGACAGGCATATCATGTTCATTTAGCCAAGCAGCAACAGTAGCTTCTCCACCAAGACTTACGACCTCCCGAGCCATGGCCTTTTGACTGGATTTGTAACACCAGACGTGAATCCCTCTTGTGGAAAGGGCCTCCAATCCAATTAAAAAGTGTTTGGTTACCCCTGTATCAGACTTCCCACTGTTATACCAGTGTAGTCATCTTGCCTTCACCTGTATTGTAGAGTATTGTTGCACACAGGGTCCACAGCTGAGAAAATTAATGAGAATTCGCTTCCAGCAACCAGTATAGCATATTCTAGCATGATAAGGGCTGACCAGCAGAAAAGAAGACTAGCCTGGTTCTAGATTGAATTCTCTATATTCTGTGACCAATACATGTAGCATCTTCAGCAACAGGATCTTAGCATGTAACTCTAGGTGGGTGAGCTACAGTAGTAGCAATTACTTTTGGTTGAATTTTCCCCACCGTCTTCTCTACCTCCTTGACCCCATCCCTCAAATAAACCTTCCTTCCCACAATCTTCTCCCTTCCACTTTTACATCACATGCATTTTTCTCATCTTGTGAGCCCTTCTACTTCCCTGAGCTCTATACACACTCACTTCCACATAAATGCACATATTCAAGAAGAAACCATCCTGAGTGAGGTAACCCAGTCACAAAAAGACAAACATGGTATGTACTCACTCATATATGAATTTTAGATGTAGAGCAAAGGATTACCAGCCTACAATCCTCTTCACCAAAGAAACTAGGAAACATGAAGGACTCTAAGGGAAAAATGCATGGACACCAGGAATGGGAAGGGGCAGGATCTCATGAGCTAATTGGGAGCATGAGGGTAGGGGAGAAGGAGCTGCCAGAATGAGAGGAGAAGAGGAGGGGAGAGGAGGAAATGGAGGACCAGAAATGTTGAGTTGGGGAAGAATAGAGGAGAGCAGGATGAGAGATACCATAACAGAGGGAGCCATTGTAGATCTGAGGAGAGATCTAGCACTAGGGAGATTTCCAGAGACCTACAAGGATGACACCAACTGACAATCTAGGCAATGGTGGAGAGGATAACCTAAACGCCCTTCCCCTATAATGAGACTGATGACTACTCTTTATGCCATCGTAGAGCCCTCATCCAGTGGCTGATGGAAGCAGAGGCAGACACCCACAGATACACACTGAACTGAACTCTGGAACCTAGTTGCAGAGAGGGAGGAATGAAGATCAAAGGGATCGGTACCAGGCTGGTGAAACCCATAGAATAAGCTGGCCTGAACAAGGGGGAGCACTAGGGGGAGCACATGGACCCCAGACTGCTGTCTGGGAGGCCAGTACAGGA